AATGAGAATTTTGGATATGCGACAGGTATAAAATCGAACTTAACTAACCTGAGTAATCTTGCGTTAATCTCGTTAGTTCCACGATATGATTTTTAGGCTTTGTGACAAAGCTCCTGGTACTGCACAAGGAATCGCGGATGCGATTCAAAAGAGGCTCAGTTCTTCTCAAAAGCAAACCACTGGGGTGAATATCCGTCCGCCTGCACGGAAACGGTAGTTAAGCCAGAATGCCTCCTATCATTCCTCCAAGCTTTCTAAAGCAAGACCCAATCGCTTGTTGAGGTATGAATTGATTATTAATTTAAAATCTGAGAAAAGAGATCTAACGAAAGCTGCTAGATCTAGTAAAAGAAATAAAAATCAAGACTGTATCGACGATGACGAGAAAAATACAGTTATTCTCAGTGCTGATCTCCCCGGGGAACCGACAAGTGCTACCACTGGGGCAACGGACAAAGAGCAATCATCAGAGCTCACGAAGACTTCAGGGACAAACATGAAAGGCAGCATAGGACTGCGGTTAGAACAAGACTGCCGCCAAATCAGGACCGCCGTCGAGATAGGACCGCCGTCAGAACAGGACCGCCGTCAGAACAGGACTGTTGTCGGTAGCTGTGGAACTTTACAGCAATTCGACGCTGTTATTAATTTCAATTTCAAAAAAAAAAAAAAGAAAAAAAAAGTACCGCCACATCGTCGATATCTAAGTATCACTATCTATATTTTCCGTTGTCTCACCCAAGTACATAAGTGCAAGGAAACCAGGGCCCGGATGGTGCCGTCTCTTGTCGATTGATCCGATAGGCTCGCCATAACAAGGATGCCGGAACGATTCCTGGCTGAAACATCTTATACTTCAACTCGAAGAGGGCAGTAACCACCTCGGTTGTATCAGTGAGGTCTTTATGGAGCATCAGAGCCGAGAAGAGGAACAGGAATGCCACAGGTCAATCTATCGCCAAGCCCAGTGCCTTCCGAGCCTCATCCTAAGTAGGATTTAACAGAAATTAGCTGCCGACCCATTTCCCACATTAAGATCACTATACCTATATTGTCCGTTGTGCTCGCACGACTCTCCAGATGCAACAAACCTAGGGGCCGGATGGCGCTGTCTTATGTCTATTGGCTTCCTCCGGGTCACAGGCAATTGTTTTGTCACTAGGACTTTTTGACTGGGATCTGTTCATATACCTGGCAGCTAAATCTTCTCATTCTATTCGTTGCGGTTTTGGGTAATATACTGCCTATACGTAGCTAGTTATAAAACATACTAGGATAACTCTCGGGACAGAATCATACCAGTTCCTCCTGCGAGGGATTCCATTGGCTGTCGGAGTTGAAAACCGAGATCTGATCATTGTATTTTAATTGAACCATCAATATGATGTCCGCGTCACACACCTTGCAGAACTCGAACGAATTTAGGAACAAGTTGTTTTTCCGGCGAATTCGCTGCTGGCGCTTCGACTTAAGACCCTCACTTCTCCGGTGTTGGATTTTCCTCGGTTTTGTCGCCATGTTGTTTACGTTCAGTGGTCTCGGGCTTCACGGACAGGAGAAAAGTCGAGCTTAAGTATTCGTGCCAAGCCTTCATGTGGTCATTATACTTTCTTCATTTTCAAACTGGAACAGCCGGTAGTATACCAGGTGCCTGCGGCCACCGGCGACCACCGGCGACCAGCAGCGGCATCTTTCTATCACTGCTAGTACTTGCTCTCATCCTATGCTGCTGCTGGAGGACGCCGAACGAATAAGGCCCACAAGCCTAAAATGTCACGATAGAATTATATAGGACAAGTCCTTTTGAAGAATTCAAACACAAAATTTTCCTGCAAGCCCAAACGCATCGCAGGATTGTGCGTACCGGATTAATAAATATTACAAGACAGGCGACATCGAGAAATAAAACATAGGGCGGGAGTGAGTGTCATCGAGTATGAGTTATTGTGGTAGTAGAGGTAACAACGTTTTAGATTCGATAATCAATCTTTACGAGCAGCCACTGAACACTGAACGATGCCAGGAACGCAGCGCACAGGCCTAGTACTTTCGGCACACTTGCAACTCATAAACTGCACCTAGACCATAGTGGTCGCCAATGATCGTCGGTGGAAGCCAGTGATCGTCAGTAGAGATGGTTTGTGGCTCTGTGGCTAGAGCCTTGGGTTTCTGTCTGTAGATCCAACACCTGGGCCGCAGGTATAGGTGCCTCGGACAAGGGCCTTGAACTATGGCGTCATCAGTGCTGAAACAGAGGACTGGTGATCGACTGCGTTCCCTGACCGTAGACGACTTGTGCCGTTCAGGGATCGACAGCTCTAGTGGCTATGAGTTATACGGCATACGACCGGTCATGTGCCCGAGCCAGATTGCAAAATGCAGGTGGCATTCCATTCAATTAGGCCATTTATGTTGGTTGACCACTTCGGCTGATGGACAATTTTTGAAGATTAACTGACTTTCATAACAGCAGACATCAGTTGCGTAGGTCTGGATAAGTCAAGCGAGATAAACATACGCCCTACATAACTTTCGAGATCACTCTATAATTTGACGAAACGTTTCTTTTCGCGTTCATGCGATTCCCTTCCACACTCTATAAATAGGGTCTCCAGTCCCATCTTCTCATTGCTTATGGGGAAATCCCTCCACTTACAATATTCAACGGCTGCACCGAACGGACAGCTATGAGCGAGTGTGTTACCTCCGTAGCAAACTACTCATACGAATCGACATGGGACGGTCCTTCGCAGAATGTGGCCGATAAAGGAATCCAGCTGGCTGAGAATTCCTAGCGGGCACTGTCAGTATCGAGGGGCCATTGGACGACAATGTTGGTATAACGGATTGTGTAACAGTGGGGCTGGGTCCCGGCACCCAGCAACAAAAGGATTCAAGTAAGATCGGGCATTTACTCCATGATTGGTCTAAAGCGTGCCATTCTGACCGCATATCCAAACTGGATAGATGTACACCCCAGTCCCATTATCCTTCCTCCATTACCTGTTATCGTACCGAATACGGTCGCGCCTCTCCTGCTTGCCCAAGTCTTGTACCACGTGAAACGGGAGGGTGCTCGTGATTTCTGCCCAACTCCGGTTGAGGGTGCCAAACCATGGAGGGAACTGGTACAGGTCCCGTATGCATCCTTAGACGTCTGGTCGATCCGTCTCGGGGACATTGTCACTGTTTGCTAAAGGGAACAGCCTGATGGGTATGCGAAAGTTTCGGATCTAAGAAGCTTAGAGGACGGGCGCTACATGGTGACATATACATGTTATACACGAGAGAGGAAATTATGGCCGAGTTTCAAACAGAGGATGGCTTCCCACGACATCTCCGTAAGAACCTGGAACAAAGGTGGCCAGAAGATGCCCATTACCACTACATGATCAGTACCAACCGGACGATCACACTCTGGGATACGGCAGTCTCGCTTGCTCCAGATAAAGTGGTCTCGAAGGTATGTTACAGCTCCATTTACAGCATAACGCCGACAAAGCGCTGGATCTGGAGTGTGGAGAACCCTGGGTTCCGGTAGATAAAGAAGATTCTCGACCTGTAGACATTACTAGAGGAAATAATTACATAGTCTAGCTGCTATAGATGAATACCCTTTGTAATTGTTTCAATATGCCACATCGGACCTTTTCTGTTGACGTATCTTTGATGGGGGAAGCAGACACTTGAGATGGGTTAAATATAGGTAGTCTTGCGGTACAGCGTCTCCTTGCGTTCCACAGGGGCATTGCCCTGGTATCTCCCGTACATAAAGATCCCAAATACGTCGCATAGCCGTGCGCCAGTGCCGGTGCAAAGAGGCCCAGGTTGCAAGGCAAGGTTCAGCATCCATCCAAGCCCGGATCGCCCGGTTAAACTGGCCATGTGCTAAACATACATCCAAGCAACGAGAAAACAAATCCCAATAGGCTTCGCGAGCCTGCGGTGTAAGCATATCCTCTAAGTCACTGGCAATGTAAGTACTAATGGTACCGATGGATATAGACGTTGTAAAATCTCTCGCAACGAGAAAACCACCCTGCAATATAAAGGTGGCGTAAATGCATCCAGCGGGGATGTACAATGACTGAGCGACAGTGGTCTCTACCATGATTCCCCCCTCTAGTCGGTACATGATCCGCGCCAGCTTACCTCTCTGGCCGTCCACCGTCCTCATTGCAACCAAGTTGTTTCCGGACGGGGGATACAGGAGCCAGATCTTCCGGCAATTACCCACAAGTGCTGAGACTCTGTCTGCGCCATAATCTTTATATTAGATTAGCTCGACAACCTTGCATGAAACGGACCAATTTTACCAAAAAACGGGTTATTTCCCGTTTATTGTTGCTAAGACTTCCTCTCAAATGGTCGTTAAGCAAAAGCCTAGTTAAATCTACATTAGCTTATGGCCTCGCCCTACACGTTTGGGTTATATAAGAGGTTCTTTTCTTTTACCTCATTGCCGGGACCTACCTTTATAATAATTTTATCACTTGATATAGTTTTCTCTTTAAGAAAATTGACTTCTAGTACGTTTCCGGATGACGTTCTGCTCGAAACTCTCGTCCCGGGCTACGGGCTTTTAGCTCGTTCACTTTATTCCTATTTTTACGTTGATATTATCGCCTATTTTCTTGTCCTGGTAGGACCACTCGCGTTCTGTGCGTATGCTATACTATCGTTTTGAGACCAACTCCAATCCCTCCTTTTACTGTTATCAACGTCAGTTGAAATCCGATACTACGACGATCTGTTTGATGATGCCATGCGATGGATTTCAAATCATACACCTTAAGCCATACACTGTGATTCGTTGCTGGCACAGGAATGTACTATGACATGAAGGACGATGAGGGAGATCTGTCTGAAGCGGACCATGTGCGATTCGAAAATGACCCAAAGCCATTCTAGTTGAAGAGGAAGGAACATGATAAATTTCGAAGAATTCGTTTCACTCCCGCATCATTCGAAACCCTTTTTTCACGTATCGAGGATGTTTAATGGCCCTGCGTCGTCAACCGTACAAGGATTCTGCTAGACCTTGGGTTCCAATTATGGAAAAGCTGTATCTTTATGCAGCCCCGTGGAGAAAGCATGCGCTAAAAGATCTCCTGAGCAGCATCCAGAAGACCTCAACCGAGCATGATGGCCATCGCATTGTTGTGAGACGCGGACTCAAATTGGGACCTGACTTTCAGTGGATACGGACGGCACTACAGAGACCTCGGCCCCTGTCGACTGTTGTCATTGATTTGGAACTTAAAAAGACTATTGTCGAAGATATCAAAGACTATCTTCATCCTCGTACCCGTTCCTGGTACCAATCTCGAGGCCTTCCGTATCGACGAGGCTACCTTTTCTATGGGCCGGGCGCGCCCGGTACTGGGAAATCGAGTCTGTGTTTGGGAATTGCCAGTATGGTACAGCTCGAGATCTTTATGGTCAGCCTTAGTGCAAATGATGTTAACAAAAATAGTCTGGCTGTTTTATTCTATTCCCTTCCAAAACGATGCATCGTTCTGTTTGAAGATGTAGATCAGGCCGGTATTCGGAAACGCGGCAACGATATTCCTCTGTCACGGAACCGGCATGAAACAGACGAAATCACCGAATGCGACAGCTTGGAACTCCGCAGTTCCGAGCGGCGATCAAAAGGAATAACACTTTCTGCATTGCTCAATGTCATTGACGGCGTATCAGCGCAGGAAGGTATAATCCTAATCATGACGACCAACTATATCGAAAAACTCGATGACGCTCTCCTTCGCCCAGGACGTGTGGATATGAAAATTCCTTTCCACCACTTTGACTCATCAGCTATTCAACAGCTTTTTCTCGCGTTCTTTCTAAAGCCCACTGATGCGCTGATCATGGGAGGCACCGAGTTAACCGACTCGGTCGATCTACCACCTACAACGGCCCGTCCTGAATGGCCGATGGAGGATATCAGGAAACTGTCACTCGAATTCAAAGGCAAAATTCCACAGGGCTGTTACGGAAATTCAAAACTATCTATTGCCATACAGGAATAATCCCGCGTCTGCAGTTCGTAATGTGGCAGGGTGGGCGAGTCAGTCCTGCAATTGAACCGTAAAACATACTGTTGGAACGATATTGTCAACCAGACTAGGGAGGTGGAGGATCCTGGCCTAACCTACATACCATACAGCACCTTGCTTGGCCTAGGTTTGGCCTATCATTCCAAATGGCATACCAAGGGATCAGGAATGCATAGGTGTAAACAAAGGGAACTATAAATAGCTAGGCAGATTGTAGTTTAGAATGGCACTTTACCTTTACCCACCGAGCATATACCTATATTCAGTTGAATCGATAGGATATCTGCTTAGGGCAATGACCAAGTCAACCGACACATACCAAGCTACCGCTTCCCTCAGAGTGAGGACGTGGAGTCAGGCTATGTTGAAAATGGCATAGAATAAGGCCCAAGAGAACATGTTTCGATTTTAGAGATATCCCGAGCCTGAATTAATATAAATAACGTAACGCAAAATACGCTTTTTAGCTTCTGCAAGACCTGGGCTTTGTTGCCAAATAAGATATGCGTTTTGAAGTTGCTTCTTATTAGATGTACGTGATCTATGTATTCCATCTTGACACGGTTTTTGGTGATGGTCGGATTGATCTAGACATACCCTAAAAAAATACACACTGGGTGCAAAGTCAGTGCCCAGTCCTGTTGAGGAGGTGCTCCAAGCCCTTCGCCTTCATTGCCATATGGGCCCGAAACTGTTTACATATATTCGCCAACCGATGTGAAAATCGAGTCGTAGGGTTACGAGATCTGTTGCGACGTAGCGGGAAATTAATTCCAGTTTGGTTCTGTCAATTGAGCCCCAACTGACATAGGTACGTTCACCGAAGCGCATAGCTAACCACAGTGCAACACATCCATCACAGACATTTCAGAAGTCCATCACAGAAAGTAATCGAATAATTCTGTTCAAGGAGCTCAACACAAACTTCAATTGGAGCCATATATCCTTAACGACTAGGCTAGTGTTATAGACAACAAAATCAGGGTAGTACTGAAAGGACAGCTCGCAAATTTTGGCCGATGAACAGGTTGAACGCGTTGGTATTCAATGAAAGGAGCCCCTCATAAAAAGGAGACGGCTAGGAATCCAAGAATTATTACAATACCATACTAGTAATGAAGCTAACCTAAGAAGTCAATTACAGTTGCGTACAGCGCGTACATTACCGTATGAAACATACGGTCCGTTAGCAGGATACTGTGGCGGTGCATAGCTACGTATCGGCAGAACAAAGGCTGTAAGCCCCGTTAGGCTTTGTGCCGGCAGAATCAAGGACATGGGTCGTTTAGTTACAAGATTTAACTTACCTTAGTTACCAACTGTGGCCGCGGAAGATGACTAAGCCGCTTATATCATCGCCTTTCTTGGCCGATTGATTCATTGCAGTTTTATTGCATTTATACGGCATTTTTCGGGATAGTATTATCGTGATATGTCGCTTGTTTTGACGACTAGGAAACCTCCCAAATTGCATAAATATCGGCTTCTTTTTCGTGTAGTTAGTTGAATTAAGATCTTCAGTCATTTGAATAGATATAAAATCGGTTGAATAATCGCTTCTCGGTAGACCCACAATGCTGCTCAGGTGTCACCTATAGACTAGGGAATCTGAGAAAACATTCAAGCTCTTATTTGCGGAGAATCAAAGGAGAAAACTCCAATTTCTAATTGCTACTGTGTTCTCTTTGAATTACCCCATTACATCTTCTCATGAGCTATGACGACTGGTGCCATGATAAGCGGAATTACAGACTTTAGTTTGAATAGTCATCTGGAGTAAGGTGGTTCATTTCTAGGGTATAATCTACGCGAAATCCCTCAATAGATATGCGATTTTCCCAGTGGTCTGGATCGAGTCGATCGCCGTGATAATGGTCGTATAATGGACCAACGTTTCCGAAGCGAAACCTCAGACCGGTAAGGGAAGCGCTCTTGGAAAGCCAACGTTACCGCGTCGATAGTGGCCAATTCTCGCATAAGTGTTCTGAGGAAATCATCTTCTTTCTCGCTGTAGGGCAGAACCTTCTGACTTGATTTATGCGACTTTGTGGACTTTTGACGAGCCTTGGCTGCTTGCTTGCGAGCTCTAGCTCTTGTTATCGGTCCTGTAGGATTCACGGCCTCTTCCATTTTGCTTTCGCCAACGTGCATGCTGGAGGTGCTTTCTAGGGTGGGAACTGTTTCCACTATTGGGGTCGTTCCATAGGACCTCAATCCTGGATTCTTGCTTGGCGTAGTCGGAGACGGTGGTGCAAGTTCAATGGAGATGTTGTCTGTCTCGGGAGCAGCGACACTTTGTCCATAGGTTTCTTTCTGACAAGAGATGGCAGGTGTCACTTGCCGCACGGTATTAATCTCCGGCTGCTCAGTGCCGACATGATCCTCCACACGCTCCCAGGGTCCATATGTACTGGGCCGTTTACTTGCGTCATCTACTTGGTATGAAAGCGGAGGTGATGTCTCTAGAAGCCGTGGATCGATAGGAACTTCCCCATGGGTTGAAGAATCTGTTGAACGAATCGAGTGGGCACAGGTGTCATCCGTGAGACCGGGGGGGTCGGATGAGATCGGTAGGGCACTATAGATATTCTGGCTTCCATCTGATACAATTGTGCTTTGGCGGTTGCCGGTATGCCAATCCAAAGCCTGCGGTCTACCCTGATACTCGTTCTTCTTCAGAGCTAGAACGGTCGAAGTCGTATTGGCGGGCATTGTGGGAGGCTCCCAGAAAGCAATTTTCAGTTCCTTTTTACCGGTAGGTGATGAGGTAGAAGGATTCTTGCGACGCTTGCGCGGGCGTTCTGCCTGCACCAGCTGGCTTTCCCCTCGAGTATACTCCTCTTCTGGTATAGAGAACGATCGTTTTTTGTGTGCCTTCTCGGATTGCACACAGATGGTTTTGTGGTAGTGGTGCACGTCATGAAGGTGCCGACGGTAGTCCTGTTCTCCGGTAGCATGGTGGCTACAGGAGGGGTCAGGACATTCTGAGGGCCATGCTTTTAGGTCAATATGTTCATCCACGTGAGATCTCAATTCTGTACTTCGGTCAAAGGCTCTCATCCTGTGGGCTGCGGAAAGCCCGTTGTTCCACATGCACTCAATGCAGTAGCCAGCACGGATAGTAGTATGGCGATACACCATTACCTCGTAGTGTTGGCTGGTCATCGAGGAAAGATGACCTGCACAATGCTCTTCAAATGCGGCAGTCTCTGCATTATGGAAGGTGTAACATTCCCAACAATACTTCACCTGTTGAGGCGGAATCTCCATGCTACGAGCATATTCCCCCTTAACACAACTGTGGATATGCGTACTCCGACTAGGTCTCTTGATCCTATTACATGTTAGCGCAAGATTGATGTAGGGGATTACTAGGGAACTCACGTCTCCAGCAGTTTACCGCAACTGGCTACCGGACATCGGCCCTCAACGGGCTCCTCTCCCGGACGATACGTCACGGTAAAATCGCGTGTACATTGAGTGAAAAGGTCTCTTACCACGCTGGCTTTTTCGTTGAACGAGAGCGGCTCATTAGACGAAATAACTGCTGCCAAACGCCCTAATTCAGGCATAATCTTGCACAGCGCCTGCTTTTTCGCAACCTGCTCGACATGGTCCGGACGTTCACGGCCCCTGGTGAGGACCTTCCAATCACGCCGAGTTTGTACCCATTTACTTTGATATCGCTGGAGTTTTTCCAAGTAGATCTTTTTCCGCAGTACTGCGCATTCGCGAGATATACGTCTGGTCTCATTGTCAGATATCGCTTCAGAGGACTCTGCGATTTTAGCTATCAGGCGCGGATCTGCTTCGATAGTCTGTTCCTCTTCGATGGGCAGACGACGTGGGAGTCCATGTTCGTGGAACTGCCCGTAGCCCTGAAAATAGTCGATGTGAGTGTGGTCGGCAAGTCTGCCCTTCAGTGCGTTAAAGACATCTACGCCAGAACAGTTTGCGAGGTAGTCATTTCCATAGACAGCTGTAGACTTCTGTGTCAGGATCTGGGCAACATGAGCCGCGGTATACTTCCCTGCATAGTCTGTTAGCCCAAAAAAGGACACAAGTAAAGCATAGCATTAAGACTAACCATCGACGGCTGCCCCTATAGCACGGCGCATTGCATGGACTGTAGCAGTTACAAAATAACCAGCATTGGCCAGGACTCTTTTGAAATCGAACTGATATGTCCCTTTAGTTAACGGTTCTTCACTGACCCCTTCAGCCGTGACGCCTCTGACAATGCATCGGTCTTTAGCTTCATCATTCCATCTGAGGACCAATTCGTTCTCTCCCTCTGGGATTCGTTGCTCAAAGAATTCTTCAGGGGTTGAAAACCCGAAGAGGGCATTATCAGCAAGAGCCAGTGCTACAAGATATAGTGCGCCTGCGTAAATGGGCTCGTCACAGTCCCAAATAGCGGTTCCGAACCTACTGTTGTTAGAACCGAGTCAGAAACAAGCAAAGGTGGTAACTGCGTACATTGTATTTTTAGGGTCTTTGTTATTCTTGACAAACTGTTGATTAAGTCGCCATCCAACCCTCCAAGGAGCATCATCAGCGCGAAACAACACGAGATCAATATTCTTCTCTTGTTAGTATATGCATTCACAAATGAATAATATACTGTAAGACTTACTTTATAACGGAGTCCCCTCCCATCTTTGTTCTCGGATGCAGGGGCCAAAGATGATACTCTAGAGCCTGCGCACAGGTACTGGAGAGTTATAAAATGGAATTGAACACGGTGTCTCCCATGTGTGAAGAAGGCGTCATCGGTAGCCCAGAGAGTGACTATGGCACGCTCAAAATCACTTAGTTTAAAATTGTACTTTGGCTTTGTGACTGCTGAGAGAAGGCCTTGTTCAACCAATTCATGTTCGATCCACTGTACTGATTAGATAAATACGTAATAAGAAAGAAGCTAGGGCTTACATAGTAGAGTTCCTGCCGATCACAACGAGGTATCTCATTCCCAGTTTCAAGGAAGAAGCCTGGAACAAACTGCTGGGCCCGAACTAACATCGTGTGCATAGTTGGCCGTCCGTCTGAGGCAATCTTGCCTTTTGTAGACTCAATAAGCCAGCGCATGAAAGCTTTAAGCTCCTCTAAGCTTGGAGCCGGATGTCCCTCTTTAATGGTATATCCGTCGGGCATATTTCTCTGCTCAATAAGAAACCTAATGAACTAGTATAAGTAAAGGAATTATATAAGTGGAACGTAAACTCACTCTTCGTACTTGCGCACTCTCTTCCTATAGTCCTCTTTGGTCTTCATCGAGGCTCTACCCCGTGTTCTTTCGGCATCTTTCTGGACATTCGCATTTACGTCGTATCCCCGTTGAAGACGAAGCTTACGGCACGCTTCTTTCCTCTTTTCAGCCTGAGAGGCCTTCCATGAAGCAGAGCGTACAGCCATCGTGCAATAAAAGTGACTGGGATGTAATGGAATTGAAAAAGAAAGACTATGAGATAAAAGTTCGCTATATGTAGGATAGTAAAAAGGAATAAAAGGAAGGAAGGCGAAAAGCCAGTATTTATATTATTTTCTGGGGTGAAGGACATCCTAGTAGGGTTATTTTTGGCAGCGAAATCCTGCTCTTGCAGCAAGTAATCTAAAGAGGAATCTGTCTAGCACTTGTGTACTGTAAGCAACACGGTGTATTCAATCCTTGTCTTCGTGATGCCATTACAAAAGTGATGGAATGCCTGTAGACTAGAGTGCGTTAGTTCGTACGCAGTTTAAAGACCATGGTAGTCACGTGAAGGAGCACTGTGGACGAGATAGAGCTGCTCCGGGATCACTCAGTGAGCCGGCCAGATCAATCCGGGAGTGACCGGAGGAGCCGGTGCGTGCTCAGTGAGCGATCAGTGAGTGTCCCGGAACGCACACGGAGCACTCACGTGCTGCCCTCATAAAAGCGGCGGTACCCGCATCCGGCAAGCAGACGGAACTTGCAGCAAAACAATTCAGTTATACACTACTATCACAGACCCTTTCTAGTCTAGAAACTACCGCAAATATCTGGGTGAGGCTGAGTTGAAGGGTTGGCGTGCGTTGCAGGGTTGGGCTGTAGAGAAGACATGCAAATGAGGAATCCCCAACCATTTATGAATAGAGGAGGCTGGTGTAGACAGACGTACCAACTTGTCTCCTTGAGAATGAATCGTGGTTGTGGTTGTGAGAGGATTCGAAGGTCGATAGCGACGGCAATTGATCGCGGCGGATCACGTGCCCGCCGCCTCGCTTTCTTTGCTTCTCGATCTCGACCAGCAGCTCCTCACCGACCCTCCCCTCCTGTTCGCCCCCGTCTGGCTCCTCTCAAGCAATTTCCGGGTGTGGTGAGAATTCCTACTCTGTCGACCGTATCACATCACCATGGCCAGCGATCCCTCTCTGCAGGATCCCCTGGTGGCCCTTCGCCGGGCCATCGCGGCTGGCAGTCTTCCCACGCCGACCACCTCCGATGAGCTCTCAGACCAGAATGTCACCGACGATCTGGCCAAGGCCACCCATCTCTACTTTACCACCCCACAGCTACAGACCATTCCCCTTACTGCGCCAACCCGTTTCGTGTCGAGTTCCTCGGACTCCGCCGTCGACTTGCGCAGTATATTGTTCGCCTGGCAGAAGAAGGATGTCGCAATTCCCGAGTACATCGCCTCGGCGCAAGAATTGAACGAATCGTTGAAGCAGAAGGAGCGCAAGGAAGGCGAGGAGGAAGAAAAGGTCCAGAACCTCATTTTCGTCGAACGGTTGGATCTCATTACCTGGCTGGAAGGCGCCTCCGACGAGAGTGAATATATCAAGCCTTTGGAGGGCGCCGCCGCCGCCGCCGCTTCGGCAGCAGCTCAGGCCCAGGCCTCTGCCAATATCGCTTCTGGTGCTACTGGTGGAGTCTCTATTGTTGCCAGCGGTGCACCCGGAGCCGGCGCGCCTGCCGCTGGGGCTCAGCAAGCGAAGGCTACCAAGGTCATCGATCCCAGATTGCAGGAGATTTACAACGGAGAGCGAAAGCTGGGAGATCGCAACAGTGTTTTGCGAGGGATAAAGCCTACGGTAGGTCAAAGCGCGAATTCATCTCATTTCTCTTCAATCGGGCCCATGATACTGATCGGGTTTGCCCCTCCATGCAGGATTTCTCTCATGTCCGCAAAACCGCAGAGACCTTCCTCGGTCGTAACCGCTCGCGAGCCGGGCAATATCCTCCCGGCACCAAACCCGGAAGCAAACCGCAGTCCATGATACCCGCACCATCGGCCGGTCTCTCTCAGTCCCGAAAAGGCAGCTCCAAGACGCAGGACCCCATCATCCTTCTCTCCCCGTCGGCATCGTCGCTCATCCGCATGTCCAATGTCCGGTCATTCCTTCAGGACGGTGTCTTCGTGCCGCCGGACCATCCCACCCTCTCCATGCCCAGCTCCAATATTCTGTACATCTCACGCCCACTGCGCATGAACGCCGATGCGTCTAGCTCCTCTTCTCGTGCCGTTAGCTCACAGGGCTCGTCGAGAAAGCCCACGCGCTTTATTTTGGTCGACAGCACAGCCAACTTCCGGCCGGACTACTGGAACCGACTGGTGGCGGTGTTCACGACCGGTCAGACCTGGCAATTCAAGTCGTACAAGTGGTCGTCGCCGCCAGAGCTGTTCAAGCACGCTACCGGTGTCCACGTTGGATGGCGCGGCGAGGGTGTCCCGCGAGAGGTCCGCGGATGGGGACGCGGCGTCCAAAGCTTTTCGGTCGAGCGATGGGATGATAAGGGCGGCGTTCACGGAGCCGGACGTTGGCGGGATCGGGAGGTCGTCGAGGGTATATGGACTGCGATTGAAGAAGGGATGAAACTCCGTGGGTGGGGATCTAAGTGATCTTTCTCTCTTTCGCATCCTCTATTCCAGTCATCACTCCCGTCGGTCTTCTGTTGCAACGCCCTCTTGGACGTCTCTATATGTCGGCAAGTTCAAAGACCAACATCAGATACCATCTACTCTCGCCCACCTATCGTCCCTCATGTTAAATCCAACCTGTCGAATTATGCGTTGACAGTGCCACCTATCCAACCCGACTCTCCATACCAATTTTGATAACCAAATGGGGTTACCCATCTTCGTTCCAAGCGGGTAAATTCTCATAAACCATATTAGCTTCACGATGATCTGCCTGGCCCTCGGAGCACCCCATACACATGAACCATCTGCTTGGTCATATGCATGCTGTCACCTATTATATCTTATTATTTCTTCTATCCTTTGGGCTTGTGAACGCAGGGCGGCGCAATGGTGTTTTATCCCTTTCTTTGCCTTATCTCTTTGTCTACAGGCGATAAAGAACCATGGGGCCTGATCTAAACTATGTAACTTAGAATCTACCTTTTACTTCCTTGAATGATATCAAATGCATACTTAAGGACATGGTTCCGAATCCATGGTAGGTCTACTTGGGATCTATCCAAGTACAGACTGACACATGTTGAAATAGTAATCGATGTCTTTGTTTAAAATATTTGGATCTGGATCGCAAATATAATGCAAATGGTTTCATTCTTCGGATCTATAAATATTAGTGAAGTGGTAAAAATATAACGATGCAAACTCATTAGCCTCCAACAACAACCAGTAGTATCTCTAATACCCCAAATCATTCCGGAATCAACACAGAGATGAACCAAAATTTACTGTTCAGACCAAATAACAACAGTTCACCAAAGGACCAACACCGAAGCTACAACGACCGAATCACCTGACTTCGCGTCACTCTGTCTGCCTCAGGCGACAAGATCCGGATGTCTGGAGTTCTCTCCGAACGGGACTTTGCCTTCCGACAAACAACGGCCCATTGCTGTATCGCCCTTCCCCGTCATCACCTCGATTGTGAATTCGTGGGACTTAACCAATTGAACTGAATGTGATAAATCTCTAGATGAATCGCACTGTCTGCAATCGTCGAAACCATTCCTTTTTTTCCCTCCCGTCTTCAGCTTCAATCGATATAACTATCTTCCCGAGCTAAGCTTGGCTGTTTTCTGGATTGGAGGTCGAGAGCTGAGAAAGTCTTCCCGGAAGGAGAAAACTCAGATTTGTTTCTTGACGATAGATGCAGTGGAAACGTTGACCCGCGAACTCTTATCCTATTCAACGACGGACGAAAACCGAGCTCGAGTCGACACTCATGATCTCGAAGTCCGCACTCGAATAAACACATCCCTGACCTCCCACCGAATATTCACACATACGCATATCCGAGAACTAAACCCCAAACCAAACTCAAAATGAAAGACCCCCGATCCGCCAAGCGACGCAGGGTATCCGATCAGGACCAGCCAGTGGATTCGGACGGAGACACCGCGATGCGCGATGAGCAGGAGATGTCGCCTACGCCGCGCAAACAGACAACCGGAAATAAATCGCTAGGTGATCCAGCGGAAGGAACAGAAGAGGAGGATGGGTCACCGAGTACATCGAGGTCGGCGCGGCGTCGCCGATTGTCGAAAGCAGGGCAGACTCCGGGCCAGGAAGGGATGACGAAAACGGGTGGTGATAAACAGGCGGGTAATACCCCTTCGAGGACGGGACTGCGGTCGAGTGGACGGCAGCGCAAAGCGCCGCAAAGGTTCGAAGATGAGGCCAATAATCAGACGCCGGTGAGGAGGTCAACAGCCGCCTCTGGACAGACAGGAACTACTTCGAGGAGTGCGCGCAGGACGAGGCCGGTGTTGCAGACTGAAGGGAATGCTGGGGAGTCGCCGCCGCGAGAGCCGGAGGAGGAAGAAGAAGAAGAAGAAGAAGAAGAAGAAGAAGAAGACGAGGGGAAACGACCGGCTCGGGCTACGAGGACGCGGTCTAAGAGGAATATGGTGAGATTCGAGGATGCGAAGGAGGATATAAGTGGAGCGGTAGCTACGGGCCACGGATCGCAGCAATCCCCGCCTGCGGATGACTACCAGGACGGGCTGGATGACCTGGTGTCGATGCAGTTGCAGCAGGACTTGACCTACCAAGAAAGTCAAGGTTCGGATGAGGTCGCAGCTGCGGCCACCTCGCTACCTAGCTACGCTGAAGCATTCCGTGCTCTATCTCAGGCAGGATTGACGGATGAACTGCAGACATTGACCTCGATTGTCCTGGAGAAGCTAAACGGCAAGCGACGGATTCCTTTGAAGGGTGTGGAGAATGAATACCGAAAAGTGGAACAACTACTGGAGCAGACGGTCAGCGTTGGCGAGGGGAACTCAATGCTGCTTCTGGGATCGAGAGGGTCCGGGAAGACGGCGATAGTCGAGACCATCATCGCGTCGTTGAGAAAAGAACACCAGAACGATTTCCACGTGGTTCGCCTCAACGGATTCTTGCATACCGACGATCGATTGGCGCTCCGCGAGATGTGGCGCCAGCTTGGCCGCGAGACCAACACGGAAGACGAGGCTGGGAAAGTGGGCAGCTACGCCGACACTATGGCGACGCTTCTCGCTCTGTTGTCGCATCCAGAGGAGCTGTTTGGCTCGCCGGAAAATGCGGAGACCGTGACGGCGGCCAAGTCCATTGTCATCATTCTGGACGAGTTCGATCTCTTCGTGACCCACCGGCGCCAAACCCTGCTGTATAATTTGTTTGATATTGCGCAAGCGCGGAAGGCACCGGTGGCGGTGCTAGGGCTGACGACCAAGGTGGACGTCACCGAGATGCTCGAAAAACGAGTGAAAAGCCGATTCAGTCACCGATACGTCTACGTTCCTCTTCCCCGGACGTTCGACACGTTCTCCGACATCTGTTATGCTGGGTTGAACCTGGAGGAGATCGAAGTATTGGAGTATGTGGAGGGGACCGATGCGGAGAAGCACGCGCTAGTCCAGTCGGAAGGATGGAGTAGACTACTGGAGGGGTGGAAAGTCTATCTACAAGTAAGCTTCTTCTTCTTTTTCTTTCAGGCATTAGCCTCCCTCCTGAACCAGAAGACTAACCTCGAACTAAGGGTCTCTGGTGCGACGAGGCTTTCCAAGCTCACCTCCAACGAATCTATCACCAATCAAAGTCCGTCAAAGAGTTCCTGACCAGCGCCCTGATCGGACTGGGAGAACTGCACTACAGCACGTATCCCGCCAACAACAACGACACAACACTATCCCTCCAGATCCCCACCGCCACCACCTTCAGCAGCCAGAGTCTCTCCTGTCTGGATCCCGCACCGCTCCCCTTCTCGGCCTCCGCAACCGCCAGCTCCTCCTCGATGCTCCTCTCGCTCCTTCTCGCCGCCACCCGGCTGGCCGCGCTCTTCGACCCAGGTCTCGAGGCCGGCTCTTCATTCCCAGCCGGACCCCTCGCGCTCTCCTTCCCCGCCGCGTACGCCGAATACGTGCGTCTCCTGACGGCGGCGAAGACTTCGGCGTCCGTGTCCGGCGCGGCCGCCACCCCGGGCCGAGTCTGGGGTCGCGACGTGGCGCGCGAGGCGTGGGAGAAGCTCGTGAGCTGGGGCTTGATCAGTCCCGTGGGCGCGGGCAGCGGGACGGCCGACGGCCGGATGTTCCGGGTCGAGATCAGCTTCGAAGAGGTGGTCGCTATGGCGGGTTCGGGTGGTTCGTTGGGGAAATGGTGGCGGGATGGTTGAGACGTGGATGGATCTTAGTCTTCTTCACTCTAGCAAAGAACATATCATTAACTACACGACCTGACCTGTTAGTTGGCTAATTAGCAATTTTAATCTAAGAAATGATCTCTATATTGTACACTGTATAGAGACGCCTGCATCCTTCGTCCTCCATCGCTCTATCAACTCGGTATATGGACCAGAGTCTAGCATAGTACCCTTAATCAATGAGTCCACCCAGCATTGAGTAGAGCATGTACCCACAACAACTATGTGCACCCTACTAGTACGGAATAAACCACCGACAGCTTAACATCGACAGCCCCGACCGGCTGCTGGACAGCCAAACCACCTATCTAACCACAACCAGTAAACAGTATTGAACGGGTCGTAGACTACCGCATCCCCGTCTACTCCGTACACCTACACCTAAGCTCCCTTCCTTCCTTGAGACCCAGAAAGGAAATCGCATCGACCCCTGTCTTAAGAGTCTTAACTCCGCCAAGCGTCAGTTCCTACCTAGCTATCTACCTAGCTAACTAGCCACCTGACCTCGCAACCAGCCAGCCAAGAAGGTCTAATGTTGGAAACAGGCACCCAAGGCGTTGGTCCGAATCCACGATCTCATTGGTAGGGAAAACCCGAGTTTTGAATGGAATACCCCGGTGTACGGAGTAAAGAAAAAAATTGAAATGATGTGATAGTGATGGGGGTTTCCAATCTGTTCTAGTAACGCAACTAGGGCTTTAGTTCGTTGACACTTATCCTCTGTTGGTAGCTAGGTAGGGTCTAAAGACCAGGACGGAATTACGGAATTAGACCGTCCAGTGTTGACACTTGACTGTGGGAGGAAAAATGTTTTCTAGTTAATGCTATCGACAAGGCCGGTCTGGACTTAGTCCTTTTTGCTCGGTAGAAAATGGTAGATCAACTACCAGATCGGGTAATTGGGGAAGATGAATATAGAGGAAGTTGATAGATAAATAAGACAGGTAGAAAGAAGGCTTTGGACTTGAGGCTTGTCTTTGTTGTCATATGAACTATTTCTTCTCGTTGTTGGTTCTGTGAGAATCCCATTTCCTTACCTACTCGTTTTTGTTTTCTGTTTGTGCCTCCTACCTGTTCAGATTCAGGGTCAAGTCTCGACTCTGGCAATTGTAAATCCATCCTCGTGCTGTTTACAAAAAAGGGTGACGAGAAGAGAGGGGATAGAGATACTCCGTTAAGGCAGGCAACCGGCGGCAAAGATAAAAAAAATTCAACTGAAATCTGCACGTACACCGTACAGAGCAGGTATGTAGCGTGGCACGGTAATCTATGCCGTCCACGTATGTACTGTAACCTCACACACGTCGCCGATCAAACCATCGAGGTCAAGAGAGCATGGGAAGCATGGAACGTGGAACATGGTCTGCGGGTGTGTGGGAGGTATGTGGCATGTGGCATGTGCTATGTGCTATGCACAGGATCCCAGTCAGTCATCCCCCTCACTTTAGCAGAGGACCTCTCTTCTTCCCTTGCATGGCACACATGTAAGAATGCAGCATGCAGCAAATCCTTTGAGGGGGCACCTCTCCTATGCGCATTCATTCTCGCGGTGCATAAGGTGTGGATCGTGGACACAGACTGCCGAGGACTAGGGGACCGCGTTGTGGAGTCGCAGCAATCCTTCGTTCGGGGATTAGACGATTTAGTTCTTCATTCTTTGCTCTTTCCATCGTAGACTGGACTGGACTGGGCCGGACCAAATCGGCTGGGTTAGGATACAGCCGAGTCTAGTTTGCGTCTGGGGACGAAAAGGTAGACCGGACACGACAGACGCGACAAGGATCAGGGCCGGAAAGAAGAGGAGAATGATCGCCACACTAATACAAGAGGAGACTACGGAGTAGCGAGGAGGGATATGATCTGATATGATAGGAATAGACCAACAAGGGTGCCAGAACTGATCCAAAACCAGACCGGGGTGTGTAACCATGGTATGAATTGAAGGAGCTTTGCATGCTAAAAGCAAGGGGGGAAAGCAGATGATCCTCGTTTGGTCCAGCACTAATCGCGTTAGTGAGCATCATTTGGGTATCGTGGGTTGAACGTTTTCCAAGTCCGGCGAGGGCATTCTCCTCCACCCGGGGTCAAGTTAGGAATAGGCGGATGTGTCTCGGAGATCCTTATCTTACTGACTGCGGAGTTCGGAATAATGAACGTGACATCCCCAGCAACAGTGACGCTTGGGGGAGGGGGGTTGATAGCTTTAATTTCTGACCACAGTAGTCGACGCTCAACAGTTTAGAAGCCGTGCCTCAGCATGTCTACCGGGATTGCGGCGAATCAGCAACGCGACAGGAGAGCCGACTACTGCATGAAATGTGCATGCTAGGGTCTTCTAGCCAGGTCAGAGTTGGGTACCTACGAGAGGAATTCCTGAACGGAGTAGCGCGCATGTCACTGACCAGGAGTGGTCCAGTCGAATGTTGGGGGCGAAAGTCCACGCTGTGCTTTGGAGCCCTAGGGGAGTGTTGAGTTCCGGTGATCTTCATGCCGAGGACCTGACAAACAGTTCTCTGACCGACAGAGGGCCATGAAGCGCACTGCAGTTAACCGGGCTGCTTCTATCGTCCCCATCTGCACGATGTCGGTGTTCAGGGGGAATTGGGGGACAAGAGATTGAGAAGCGCTATCCTTTATGCCCAGACGGACGATTTCTCTAGACTAGGGGGGAGAGGCCCGGGGCCCCGAAGGAATCAGATAGAATTCTATATTTAAAACCCCGGGATGTCGGTGATATCAGCATGGAGATGAATGAACATGGCCAACAAAGCGGACGATCCCAGGGGAATGGATAAGCCGAATCCTTCGCCCGGAGAGAGCGAAGACAGGGGCCTGATACGAAGGGGGAAAGGAAGGAAGGCAATGATCAATCAATCGGGAACGCAATGCAGCAATGTAGGACAAACATGGAAGTCGGACATCCCGGTTGATGACGGGTTCGCGTGGAAGGCAGGAAGCGGCCTCCCATCAAACAAGACGCAGCCCCGGCTCTTTTCCTATTGGCATGCGGGCCTTGGGCATCAACCACATGGAGTCAGCTGATCCGCCTGACCGCCTTCCCGGCAGATCCTCCACGTGTTGCTTACCGTACCGTACGGTAACTTTGTACTCTGTAAGGATGTGTGTTCCTCCGAGGCCGACGGCGGCCCCGGCACCTCTAGGTACACTCTATGTAGATGACAGTGTCCTGTGTCACAGACTCACAGTATACACTATTATAGAGTATACTACTGTCGGCCCTCGGAGGACTGATCTGCAGTCCTCCGGCGACTAGGCTCGGAGGGCTTGACCGTCTCAAATTTCAGTCAACATGGGGGATGAGGATCATCGACCAAGGACTCCGTACTCCGTATGGTCGGTGGCCGATTACATCATAGCCACCCGTCCGATCCTCGTCCGGAGGATTTATCACCCTTTTCGCCTCCCCAGGAGAACCACGGAAGACTTTTCTTTTTTTTTTCTTTAGGCTTCTCGAAATCGACTAAAATAGATGGACAGGGAAGGATTCTGTTTTCCCGACCCAAGGATCGCATGAAAGACGGGTCCCCAACATGAACGGAGGGGACCCCCAAAGAGGAAGCAAAGCAGAAGAGACTAGCGAAACGCGATCTCCACCCTTCTAGCGGGTTTCCAGAATCCTTCTGGAAGCCTTCTAGCGCCTCCCCCTGAGCCGTACATGAGAAGGAAGGTGAAACCTGGCAAAAAGCGGAGTCGGAGACCGCCGTCTTCCTCTCAAATAGATTAACTCATTAATCCTACCATGGAATGAGCACCTCCCTAATGGGTTCGTTCGGCGGAGTGCAACATATGATATAATTATTGAAATTGATTCCCGTTTACAGAGTCGTACAGTAAGTCAGTAACTATGTATACGGGAAGGATGCAACCGACGACCGACCGGTGATAATTAACATCTCTATTATTTTCTCCTCTCCGACAATATGATCTATCACATGGTCACCATTCTGCGCTAGAGAGTTTTTGGCGACTGCAAACTAACCCCACGGACCTATGGAGAAAATATAGGCGGCTGGGACCGACTGAGTTCAACTTGGTCGGCTTAACCGATGGGCGAACTGGGGCACCTTCGAATCCTAAATTCTATTTTTCTTTTCTTAGGAACGGGCTGGCCCTGTTAATGGACCGATGGGACAGCCCCAGGGTCAATTTTCCGGGTGACCTTCAATTCGACGTCACTCGGCGATACGGAGTGCATACTATTCAATACTGTGTAGTCTCACTCTTACGTGTTAGAAGTTAACCCTTAGAGAGATCTGTACCTATCCGTAAGCTCCCTGGATTTCTCGGTCAGTCCGGTTGAAGGATGAGGTTCTCTGGTAAAACCACTCCCACTAGTGAATTCTATACGGCTTCCATTAGAAAACTATGATTTCGTAGATTTGTACGGAGTATATCGTGTCTATTATTGTCAAGGGGGCGGGTAATGGATAAGCTGACTTCCGTTAGTGTTGAGATGATCGTTTATCCGTAGGAATGTACCTACTTTAGGAGGTATCGATATGCATAGGTCGATCTCCTTACTTCGTACAGTTACAATTGATCCCGTAAGTACTCAGCATAGTAAGATCTTTGCGTACTCATAGGATTTTCAATTCCATATTGCGTACATGACTACTACTCCGTACATGTCCACCCGACATCGCACATCCCAGCGGAGATCATCATATGAGGAAAAGAAAAATACAGGACGTTCTACCGAACTTCCATAACCGAGAAAAAACCGAGTTCCGAGAAGATCCAGTTACAAGTTACGAGACACAAACAGTAAACACCCGTAGTTAACCGGGCGAGAACCACAAACACGAACCCCATTTATTCCTGTGATGGAGAATCCCAAAGGGGAGCCGACTCAATATAGAGTTCCAAACTATCTAACCTTGAGCCACCACGTGGCTTCCGCATCATTTCCCCTTTGCCCTTTTTTTCTGGCTCTCCGTAGTCTGTATTCTCTT